TTTAAAGCGGGCCCCCCCCGAGGGCCCGGGCCCTCTTCCTTGCCTTTTTTTTTTTTTTTTTTTTTAAATTTATTTTTGCTTAATACGGGTGCACGGGGCTGTTTGGACCCGTCACCGAGCAGCCCATCGTGTCCCGGAGCCCTTTGGCCCGTCCTTGTGCTGCAGGGCCGGTAAAACCGGGTGGGAAAAGCAACAGGGAGCGAGGGCGGTGGCGAGCTTCGACCTGCAGCCCTCGCCCAGGGCTGAGGGCGGCTGGCGTTAACCCGCTCCAAAATACAGCAAAAAAAAGCTGTGGCTGAGGGTGTTTTTGGGGGCTGTGACTGCAGGTGTGGGCGGCAGTCACTGGTGCGCCGAGCGTGTCCGGTCTCTGCTGCGGAGCGGAGGTGGCGGAGCCCTGCCCAGGCCGGGGGGACTGATCCTGCCGGTCGGTCCCCACGTACAGACCCTGACTAATGGATGTCGGCCTTAAGCGGTGCGTGGGAGTCAGCGGTTGCACAAATACAGTGATGCAGAAAGGTGAGGAATTGGGAAATAGCTGACCTTTCTCGCCCGGAGCCGTTCCTAAGAGATGCTCTGGGCTGCCAGAGATCACACTGCTTTTTACTTACCCAGCAAAAACGCACGTGTGCTGTTACGACAGGGATGTGGCTGGTTTTCCTGGGAAGCAGGCTCCCGGTGTCCCCGGGGTGGGGACCTGCAGGGGAGCTCCTCTGACCTGCTCCCAAAGTCCAGCGCCCGAGGGTTGGGGCCATGGGGCTTCCCAGCGCCGAGCCCCAGGCGGACTTTGGTGCCTCACCGAGCTGTTGTCACGCAGGGTTTTGCTGAGGATCAGGTGTTTTTATTGTGCCTCCTGCTGGACTTTAGCCGGGTGCCGGCTGCCCGTTGCCCCCAGTTGGGCTGATCCACTGCAGGGCCCTGGTCTCATCTGTGCCTGGCTAACGCACCGCGCCGGCACCGGCACCTCCCTGATGGGGCTGTTCAGGTGGTAGCAACCAGGTTCTGCCCCATTTGCTGCTCCGTGGCATCCCTGGTCCCTCGGGTCTGGCCCTGTGCGCGGGGGGAGCGTGCCTGCCCTCCCATATGTCCCGGGGCCAGCGAGCCCGTCTGTGCTGTGCTGTCCACTTCCAGATCTCTCCATGGGCTCGGAAAAATAAAAAGGACGTAGTTAATGTAGCTTGGGCGAATCCCCTGCCAGGCGTGCAGTCCCCTGGGGGGAACAGGGCCCCGACACGCTGCGGGGCGGCCACCTGCTTGCAGGGGCTGCGCTGGCTGGAGCCGTGCAAAGAACCTAGGAAGCTGGAGATGCCCCAGGGGCTGGGGGGGCAGCCCCGGCTGGAGATGCCCCAGGGGCTGGGGGGGCAGGCTCGGGGCACAGCCGGGGCAGAGTTACCGCAGGCGGTTTCTCTCTCTGCACTGGAGCAGGAAGCGGGTGACAGCGGGTGACATTGCTGCACAGCCCTGAATGGTTTCTCAACAGGTAGCAGGAAATCTTGTGGCTGGGGCGGGGGCCGGTGCTCGGGGCAGGAGAGCGAAGGCAGGCGGGTTTGGAGACATCGCCCCAGCCGGGCACCCACTGAGTGGGGTGGGAGGATGCCAGGCGGGATGCCGAGCCAAGCCAGAGCGGGCAGAAAGGGATTTCTCTCCGGCGAGCCAGGAGCACACTGGCGTGCCTGTTCTCCGGCCGCTGGCTGGCAGCCGGTGCCTGCTGCCCCATCCCCCTGCAGCCCCCCACAGCCCCATCCCAGCCCCGCGCGTTGGTGGGATTCCCCGGGATCGCTGCGGGTGGTTTGCATGTGTCAGAGTCCTGTTTGCTTTACCAGGCCAGACTTGCCTTTATTTGCGTAACGAGCTTGGAGACGCTTGCCCTCACCCTGCCTGGGACCGAGCGAGGGTTTAACAACTCCCACCTTCTGCAGGATCCAACCTCTCTCCAAACCCTGCTGGGTCCTGCATGGTCGGGACCCCCCTGTGCCAGGGGGCTCGGACACCCCCGTGGCCCCCAGTGCTGGCCAGGGGCTGAGGAGGTTTTGGGGGGGTCGTCATGGGCTCCCTTCTTATTTCTATAAAAGCCTGGGCGTGCAAACCCCCCGGATGCTGGGGTGGAGGTTTTGAGCCTCCCCGGAGGCAGATGGGGAGCTGATCCCTGCACCCCTCTTCTGCGAGGTGACGGTTTTACACCGCCGGGGCCAGCCCTGCTTCCGGGGGCCCTGCGCCGCGGGGACGGTCCCCAGCGCTCGGCCGGGAGCCGTGGCAGCTCGTCCTCCCCCCGCCTGCGTTTCCGGAGCCTTCAGCTGCTCGGGAGTGTCTTGAGAAAGTTTCATGCAAACCGCATGGCGTTAGCGGAGCAGCACTGGCCCCTGCCAGCCCAGCGCCCTGGCATGGGCTGGGGCTGCTTTTACCAGGGCAAGGCTTTTGCTACCAGCCCCCGGCTTCCCTCTTGCAAATTTAATGCTAAATTAGAGCCCTCCCTGCCAGCAACGCTCATCCCTCCTTGTAAAACCCAGGTGAGCCTCCCAGGGCTGGGTTTTGGGGTGTAACAGGGAGCAGATTCCCCCCATTTGGGAGCGTTGCACTGGGGGTAGCTGGTGTCTAATTAGGAAATGAATTAAATTTCCTCTCAAGGCAGCTGCATGAAAAGCAGCTCCAGTCAAACGGGACGTGACAGGGATGCTGCAAGGAGGCTGCTTTGCATCCCCTTTGTGTGAAGCCCGAATGCGTGCGCCAGATTTCGGGACCCGTGTGAATTTGCTGGCCTGGGCGTCCCCGGAGCCATCGTGTTTCTCTTTGAGTAACTGGGAATGCTGCTGCCGACGGGCTTGTTGCTGCTTGTAGGGCTGCGGGGAGTTGCCTGGGATTTGGGGCTTCAAAAGCTATCCTGAAATTGCTGTTGGGGGGCTGGGAGCTGGGGAGCAGGTCCTGGCACACCGTGCAGTTGGGGTCCCTGTGTTCCTGGGGCTGCTGGTCCTGCTGGGTGGCCAAAGGTGCTGGGTTGGGATGGTCCGGCACAATCCTGCAGGAAGAAGGGTCTGGAGGTGCCCCAAGTCCTGTTCCAGGGCAGGAATAGGGATGCAATGCTGCTGAGCTCCCCATCCCAAGTGGGCATCTCTGCGGGCAGATGTCCCTCTGCCACCCCTGGGTGCAGAGGAGAGGGGTGGCACGGGATGCCCGTGCTGGGTGCTGAGTCTGGCTTCCGCTGCTGCCCTCCCCACCGGAGGCTGTAATTGCTCCTAACAAGGCTCTGCCGGCTAATCTGGGCCCCAGCGCGGCGGGAGGGCTGCTGGCGTTGGAGGAGAGGATGCAAAAGCTTCTAGGAATTAGGGATAATTCCATTCTCCTGCTGTCCAGCTCCCGGCCCTGCAGCCACCGGGCTTCTCCGCATCCTGGGTGTTGACCCCAAACCTTCTCCCCTCCGGTCCTTTTTGGCCAGGAGGAATTTGGGGCTGGAGGGATGCAGTGCTGCGGCGTGCTTGCCCTGTGGACGGGCAGGATATGGCCGCTGGAGGATGGGATGTGATTATATTTTTCTGTCCGGGAGGTGGAATGGTGGCTGCCCACAGGGTTTCTGCCGGCAGGAGGGATTTGGGGAGGGCGAAGGCGGGCTGGCACACTGGGGGCTGGAGGAGCTGCCAGCCGCT